AAGATTCACACAGTTATTAAATCATACTCTTAAGTTGTTCTAAAAAAAAAACCACATTACAAAATAAGAAAGTAGTTAAAAATAAAATAATCTTCTACTACCTCTTGTAAAATGAACTATAAATAATTTTGACAAAAATGTTGCTGAAATTTAACAGGTGGGAAAAAAAAGGACACTGTACAGCTTTCTGTTTACAGAACAAATCAAATCAAAACAACATCATAAAAAAATTGTAGCAAAATAAAATACCTAAAAGTTGAAACAACATATTCCAAGTGTAACAACATCGATCAAGATAATGCCATACATAATGGTCACAATATAAGTATCTTTATTATAGAGACTTATATTGTGATTTTAGACTAATAGACTATAAGTCAAATTTCAGGCAAATGCACCATATAAAAGCCATTTTTGTCATATAAATAATGTCATTAAGTCATATTTAAATACAACATATAAAAGTCATTTTTGACACAGGCTTTAACTTAAAAGCCTAAAGTTTAAGCTATAATTCATATTTCTAAAGTGAATGTCTGATAACAATTATTAAAATTATTTTAAACAAAAATATTAAAATACTTACTTTGTCTTGCAGATAATTAAACAGTAAATATAACTGGCCGATATGCTGGCACATAAAAGAGAACTACTTCTAACTAACTAAATTTTTTATGCGAAAACAACTAATTTTCCCTATTATAATTGGTATACACACTTAACTTTTACGCTTTGTTTTGGAGCAAAATTCTAAACAATTCAATTGTGCCCTACTCAATTTTCTATAAAGTATAAACTTTTAAAGTTTATAATAAACTTCATGAACTTATTTCTGAAATTGACTCACTTCAATTGTAACAACTTTAAGATGACACAATTCATGAAAAAGAATAATAGGTTAACTCATATGTATTTATATAAAAATAATAATGTTACCAATGTTATTAAAATGTTATTAAGATGTTACCAATGTTATTAAGATGTTATTAAATCTTAATAACATTTTAATATAAGATGTTATTAATGTTGTTAAAAAAATTTTCTCGCTTTACCAATCGCATTCGCTTTTAACTTTTTCGCTTTCCCGACCTTTCGCTTTCAAAACTTTCGCTCTTAAAAGTTTCGCTTTAAAGACACCGAACCCTTTAAAGCGAAACTTTTAAGAGCGAAAGTTTTGAAAGCGAAAGGTCGGGAAAGCGAAAAAGTTAAAAGCGAATGCGATTGGTTAAGCGAGAAAATTTTTTTAACAACATTAGTAACATCTTAAATTAAGATGTTATTAAGATTTAATAACATCTTAATAACATTGGTAACATCTTAATAACATTTTAATAACATTGGTAACATTATTATTTTTATATAAATACATATGAGTTAACCTATTATTCTTTTTCATTGAATTGTGTCATCTTAAAGTTGTTACAATTGAAGTGAGTCAATTTCAGAAATAAGTTCATGAAGTTTATTATAAACTTTAAAAGTTTATACTTTATAGAAAATTGAGTAGGGCACAATTGAATTGTTTAGAATTTTGCTCCAAAACAAAGCGTAAAAGTTAAGTGTGTATACCAATTATAATAGGGAAAATTAGTTGTTTTCGCATAAAAAATTTAGTTAGTTAGAAGTAGTTCTCTTTTATGTGCCAGCATATCGGCCAGTTATATTTACTGTTTAATTATCTGCAAGGCAAAGTGAGTATTTTAATATTTTTGTTTAAAATAATTTTAATAATTGTTATCAGACATTCACTTTAGAAATATGAATTATAGCTTAAACTTTAGGCTTTTAAGTTAAAGCCTGTGTCAAAAATGACTTTTATATGTTGTATTTAAATATGACTTAATGACATTATTTATATGACAAAAATGGCTTTTATATGGTGCATTTGCCTGAAATTTGACTTATAGTCTATTAGTCAAAAATCACAATATAAGTCTCTATAATAAAGATACTTATATTGTGACCATTATGTATGGCATTATCTTGATCGATGTTGTTACACTTGGAATATGTTGTTTCAACTTTTAGGTATTTTATTTTGCTACAATTTTTTTATGATGTTGTTTTGATTTGATTTGTTCTGTAAACAGAAAGCTGTACAGTGTCCTTTTTTTTCCCACCTGTTGAATTTCAGCAACATTTTTGTCAAAATTATTTATAGTTCATTTTACAAGAGGTAGTAGAAGATTATTTTATTTTTAACTACTTTCTTATTTTGTAATGTGGTTTTTTTTTTAGAACAACTTAAGAGTATGATTTAATAACTGTGTGAATCTTCTTGGTTGATGCCTAAAAGATTTTTTGAAGGCAGTTCTACATTTTATTGAAATATAAAAACATGCCAATATCCCAAAAATTATTCTGCGTAATGTTTTTTGGATTGTTTGCATGTAAAATTAAAAATTCAGTTATTAATTGTGAAAAAGACTAATTGGCTAATTAGTTTAAAAAGTTTCAATGGTGATGATTGATTGGTGAGAAACTTATTTACTTTTTATGTTTTAATTACATGATTTGTAAATATTTATGATATGAATTGTTTGTGATCTCAGTATAGTAAAGTTTTTATTTCTACATTTGTATTACTTAGCACAAATATTTTATAATTTTGTCTACAGATTGGTTTGTAATAGCCTTAATTATCTTATTTACTTAATGTTCAGTATACTGTTATGTTGTTTTTAAACTAGATAAAATAGTTTTCAAATGAAAATGACTGCTGGCTCTATATGAATCTAATTTAAGTTTACTTCTTTGGGAATTTTATATCATATATTAAGTTTATTGTATTGGTAACTTTTTTATTACTAAAAAAAGAATTTTGTTACACAAAAAAAAGTGTAAAATGCATAACATCCCAGCTATTACAATATATTGGAGGGCATTTATTGGAAATGTTTTTTTTTTAACATTTTCATTTCCAACAAGACTGCAAGCACCTACTATTAGAGAAAAGATGAAATTTATAGAGTAAAATAACAACTAACAGAATTAAGTTTCACGAAAAAACAGATTAGAACTTTTTAGGCACTTAGGAACAGTCATATTAAAGGATTAGCCTTTATTGAATGATGAGTAACACAATAATGAGTTTTAGTAGATGATACAAGAGACGCTAGTTCTTTAGAGCAGTGTCCATAATTGTATTTATAAAAAATAAAATGAGAAGCAACATTATGATAATATTCTAATGGTTGGAGGTTTGCTGCAAAGGTCAAGGTGCAAAAACAATTTTTTTTTGTACCTTGTCTAAAAGAGAAAGGCCATTACTGGAAGATCTGATTAAGATATGGCAAAAGTGTTCCATGCAGGGATGGATGTAAGATTTATAGAGATAAGACATAAATATTTGTAGAGATGTTTGAATTGATGAATACTTTTAAATTTAATATTGTATCATAAGTTGACAATATATTCAAAGACTGAAATTTAGCACAATTGTATTAAGCAAAGGTCTTTGCACACCATCAATTAAGCATTTATATTTCAAGAGTTGTTTATTGATAAAAGCTTGCCTTAATTTACATAAATAGTAATATTTGTAGATATTATTATCTACTAGATAATAATTTATATTAAAAACTAACCTTTATATGTCTCGTTTTCAAATATGTTGTGTTGATATATTTGCCCTGGCTTTTAGTTTATGACTCAAAATTTAAACATCAATTCTTGAGGTTTAACTATCTCATCATTTCTAAAAGTATTAAGGGTAGACAGCCTAACTCACCATACCTAATCAAAACAAAAGAACATTATAAATTCGTATCTTTCTAATTTTATGAATAATTTTTATTTAAACATTAAAACAATTTTTTGGTTGAAATCTAATACATAAATTTCAAAAAACAAATTAAAATTAAATAATATCAATAAGAAATTATGCAAATCTTTTTTTTTTTATCTATAACTTATTAACTTGTAGTGCAATTATAATTTTTATGCAAGATTTTATACCTTTTTGTCGCAATGTAACTCAAGTCTCAGCTAGAGTACCAAATGAATAAATAATTCTAAACTATATGCATTTAATTCTATACTAAAACTATATACATAAACTCTAAACTATATACAATAAGTTTTTTTTATTTATTTAATCTAATAAACTCTAACTGTAACTATAACTCTCAGCTAGAATATCAAATAAATAATTCTAAACTATAACTAACTTATAATTATAAAAATATTAACAGTTTAAAAAAAATAAAATCCAAACGCTAAATAATCTATAATATAATTTTGAGATAATAACAAAATCAGAAAAAATTTCAATAAATTTCAGTTGTTGTTGCTGTTGAACTTATCGCGATACTCGATTTCCCGGTTTTCGCTTTATAACTTTTCGCTCTTACGTTCTTTCGCTTTTAAACTTTTCGCTCTTACCTCCCATTACCGCGCGCATTACATACTTTATTTCAAAATGGCACCTTTAAACAATAATATATACATTGCTTCGTTGACCAGTTGTCTTATTTCAGCTTTAGGTAATATAGCTATGGTTACAACATTGGTGTTGCCTTTTTTAATTAGTTTAAATTGTAATCAAATGCAACTGATTTTTCTAATGAATTTGGATCTTCAAAAAATTTCTAAGCGTCACCAAAAAAATATGAAAAGGTTAGTAATAACATTATTATTCACAATAGTTTATTTTAAAAACACATTTGGTTTCAATATAAACTGATATAAATAAAAAAAGTATTATGGTTGTACACAATCATAATAAATATAGTTGTTACTGTTTTTATTGAATTTAAATTTTTTTCTACTAATGTGAATTTTACTTTTTAGAAATACAATTTTTGATATGCTAATGAATAAATATTATTTATAATTATTGTAAACTATATAGAAAATATTATTACAAGTTTTTTTTATTAAATTATTTTATTTTATTTTTGAATATATTATTTTAAAAAAAAAAGAAAAAACTGGAAAAACCCTGGTCGTAGTGATACTTGGTAAAGAAATCTGAAATCTGGTATTTTACTTCCTGAAGAATGGATTATAATATATTTATGAAACTGGTAGACTCTATAAGGCATCATATCTCTCCAAGTCCAAGATTTGTAAGAAAAGATACTATTTCTCCTGAAAAGCGTGTTGCAATGGTTTTGTATTATCTAAAAGATGAAGGCTCATTTAGAATGGTAGCAAATACGTTTGATGTTTCAAAAGCTACTTTGTCTGTGTCACTACGCTTTGTGTGTTGTGCCATAAACTTAGAACTAGGACCAAAGTTGATAAAATTCCCAAATACAAATGAGGAAATTAATTTTATGACTTACAAATTTGAATCTAAATTTGGTATTCCACTAGTTTTAGGTTGCATTGATAGTACTCACATCCCAATTCAACAACCGCAAGAAAATTGCCATGATTATTTTTGTTACAAAATGAAATACTCATTAAATTGTCAAGCAGTTTGTGATGAAAAGGGAAGATTCACAGATGTGGAAGTCAGATGGCCAGAAAGTGTCCATGATGCTAGAATATATGCTAACAGTAATTTAAACAAAATGTTTGTTGATAGATATTTTCCATTAAAGTATCAAGAGCTTGTTCCTGGGTATTCTCCTATTATGCCATTTTTGTTAGGGGATCCTGCATATCCTCTGTTACCAAACCTTCTTAAAGAGTATCCACATTCTGAAAGTGATAAGCATGCACTTTTCAATAACATGTTGCGTTCAGCTCGTAACCAAATTGAATGTGCTTTTGGAAGATTAAAAGCTCGTTGGAGAGTTCTTAATCGCTGCATCGATGTTGATTTAGAACTTACCACTTCCCTAGTCTATACATGTTTTGTATTGCATAATTTTTGTGAAGATAATAAGGTTGAAATTCATAGTGAATTAATACAAGCAGAAGTAGTTGCAGAAAAAAGGTCACAATGCTGTGACCATCACAACAAACTTGATAAACTTTATACCTACAATTCATCACGTGGGGTGCAAACAAGAGAAGCAATTGCTCAATATTTAAGAGACAAATATTTGAAATGAACATTTAAATACTTCTGAACTTTGGTTTAATTATGATAGGTTTTTATTTAATATTCTTCTTATGTATGTGTATAGTTATACATAATATAATTTTAAAAACATTGGTAAATTTTGTATAATCTTTTTTTTCTTTACGCTAGAAACTATTGTTAAAAAGAATCTTTAATGTTGCTATTTTTTTAAATTATTGTTTATACTTGTATAATTTATTTCTTTATGTTAAATTTTTGTGCTTCAAAGTTTAAAAGATTTTGAGTTTTGGTCTGCTTTTTATTAATTTTTTTTTTTAGTTGTACCAATGCCATGTGTTTTAGTTGGCTTACTGTTAAAATATGGTTTTAATTTAGTCAAATTTCATGATTTGAAATTTACTTTGTTAATCATTAGCTAACGGTAATGGAAAAAATTGAAATCAACGCACAAAGGTGATAAATTTGATAAATTATTTTTTGTGACACAGTTCTATTGTTTTTTTTCTTCATATTAGCAGTATTTTTGTTATGATTATGTCTGTGATATTTTTTTTGTTTCTTGTTTTGATTTTATCTACTTTTAACATGTTGCTCTTGAAAATAGTGTAATGAGGGCGTTGTATTATTTTTTTGACACCCGCAATATGCATCTTTTTTTTTCATCATAAATAAATCATAAATTATCCATTTTAAATAGTTACAACTTTCGTATCTGTTTAAAAAAATTAATGAAGTATATACAGTTCTGTGGACTGTCACCATTTTTTGGCAAATTTTGATCCCCTTCTCCCTCTTTGTCATTGCTTTTATTTTTACAGCGAGGCAAATTTCATAAGTGCAAACTGGAATGTGTACAAAGCAGTTGCAAAAACTGGCATAAGTGCGCCATAAGAATTGGCAAACATTGACGCAAGTGCAATCAATTAATTTTTGTTAAAATGTAAAGTATATATATTTGCAAATGTCTATAGATTTCAATTATTTAAATCTATGGACTCTTGCAGCAAAATATACATACACCTACTATTGGGTTTTGGTTGTGGAAGGCAGTGTAATTATTTTTTTTAATTAATTTATAATACAAAATTTAAAACGTTAGGCGCACTGATTCCAATTCGCGCCTATGTAGATTCGCAATTATGAAATTTGCACTTAATCAGTCGCCCCTTTTTTTCTATACTCCCACCCCTTAAAAAGAGATGGTACAAAATCTGCCCCCCCCCCTCCCTCTATTTGATCAAAAAAAAATTTATAAAAAATAAAAAACCCACATGTTTACATATTTTCCATGCTATTAAAATTGAAATAAGAAATCTATAAAGTGATGTCCTTTTCCAACAACCCCTCTTCCTCCTTTATCTACACTCCTCCCCCTTAATTGCATGACGCACTTTATGTTCCCTACACAGGACATCGCTACCAAATATATAAAAGTGTTACCGCTACCTTCACTTTATTGGAAGCACAAACCGCTATTTTTGCGATATAGGACAACAAAAAAATATTTTTATATTTTTTAAAGTGATAAAATATTTACTGTCATATAAGTAAATTACGAGTTTCTCCCATCACATTTTTGTTTCTACAATTTTGAGCTTAATGAAGCCTTAGTAACTTTTCAGTATTATTCATTTCGGAACATTTGTTTATGTGTTATAATAGTATTGAGAGAATCATTTATGCGTAAATTCTATGTTTGCATCAATAACTTAGTTTACTTTAAAAAATTTCAACTTGATTAGGGGACATCGACAAAGTAGTTATGTAGTAAAACCACTGCGCGCATACACATTGTTTATTATTAAAATAAATTTCATAACATTAAATACAACAGATCGCAAGTTTTTGTTAAATCTACTTTTTTATTTATTTAAACAAAACAAAATCAAGATAAAGTTATTATCAATAAGATTACTGACACAGAAAACAGTGTTACAGTGGTTTTGGAAACGATGGTGATGAAAAGCTATTGGACATTGTTGGCAAATTTGCATGAACTATATTGTAGTTTGACCACTGCATTTGTTGATTTTGCATAAAAGAATTAGCTAAGATGGAAAGGCCCTCTTTTATATTGTCACCAATGGAGCTTACTGAATTAGCCATCGCTTCAATAGTATTTTGAGTTTGTTTTGAAGATTGTTCCATTGCTTGTATTATACTGCGTTTTAATGTTATTTCCTCTCTTGCTAGATTTAATTGCATAATGTCCCGTTGGTATGCAGACAGTTTCTTTTTCATTTTATCTCGCTTTGTATCTTTAATAACCATATTGTCCATTTTTGATTCACTCGTAAGATTTAAACTGGAATGACCATGGGGTATAGCTCCTACAGAAGGTGAACCACTCCATATTTCTCTTAACTTTTCAAAATGTTCTTGAACCAAACAACCACTTCCAGATCGTGTTCCTTTATCGATGGCTGTTTTGTAACCAGATCTTAACTCTTTTATTTTTGATTTAGTTCTATTGTAACCTTCCTTTTTTTGTTTTTCTTGCTTATCAATTTTTCGTTTTAAGACCAAAAGCTCTTCTGTTGAAATATGATTAGTTTCTATTGGTTGTATTTTAAAAGGCCCAAAATCCTCTGGTGGATACATCTGTCCCATCATTTCTCGAACAGAACTATACATGGCAGGCAAATCTTTTTCAAAGTCTAAACCTTTATAATCCATATCAGTTTTATAAATTACTACGTTTTCCAATAAAACTTCTATCATTTCATTACTCTAAGTCCATCTTGGAGATTTCTCTTTATCTATTTTATAGTTACTTTTTGTAATAGAAATGAGACTGGCAGATTTAATACTAATAGGATTACTATTGCAGGTTTTAGCGTTATTAAAAGTTACTTTTTGTAATAGAAATGAGACTGGCAGATTTAATACTAATAGGATTACTATTGCAGGTTTTAGCGTTATTAAAAGTTTGAAAATCAATGTCTTTTAAATTTATTGTAGAATGTGGTTCCTCCTCCTCTGACTCACAACAATGATTTGATGACGTCTCAGTACATCAACAACTATGACTTGATGTACTCATCTCAGTACATAAATTTTTACTTAGGTTGCTTAACTTACTAAAAAAAAGAAAAGGAATACAGTAAAACTTAAATAATAAAATTATACCTATAAAAAAATATTCTAATTATGATTCATATGTTTTGTGTAAATTTTATTTTTCACATTTTAGTGCAGTATTTAAATTATACTTAGTAATAATAATAATAATAATAATAATAATAATAATAATAATTTTAATTACCTTTTTGTAAATCTTTTCGGAAAATTGCAACTTAAATCGTCCATTATTTATTTCAATCAGTTTCGCGCGTTAAATGTGACAGTTTTACATCATAATAAACAATATTTGAAATTAACCAATACCGCGTTAAAGAAAAACTAATATGTCAATCATGTAATTTTCAAGCATGCGCGTTTCGATTAAAAACTGTTTACATGGTAAAACGATAACCAAAACGAAATTTCATATCGGACAAAATGACAAAAATGAAATTCTCACCGAAATGAATTTCATTTCGTCAAGTGAATGTAAACAGATATGCGTGTTTTATTGAAGACCGAAATAAAAAAAATTCATTTCTCCCCGACATGAAAAGCTATGTAAACGTGCTCTAAGTGTCAACAATATCGTCTTTCGTCATAATATTTATAAATGGAGCCGTTTAAAAATACATTATGAATAGCATTAAAAAATATCAAAAATATATTATTTTGCGGACTTGAATCAAACATTGTCATGAAAGTTTTTATACTATTCTATTCTATACAGAATTGAAATATAAAGATTGTTGTAAAAATTTCATAGATTTAGTTGTGTTACCTTAATTTTTAATAAAAATAATTTTTTTCATTAAGTTCTTGTTTATGCATAAATTATAATTAGGAAAATACTTTCGATTTGCAATAAGTGAGAATTTTTAAATAAACTCAAATAAATTCAAGGAAAAACTATTTTTCTTTTTAGTATAATAAGTTTTTATATTTTGAAATAATTCGAAAATGGCAAAATCTTTAACAATTGTAAAAGAATTTTTGGAATGTCATGAAAGCACTCTACTAAAAACCTTTGGAGAGAGATTTGATAAATTAGAAGAAAAATTTTACAACGAAATTGAAAAATTAAAAAATCGAAAATGCTTTACTGAAGAGAGAAGTAGTTGAAGTTACTAGAGCAATGAATTTCCAGAATGAATATTATGAACAAATTGTTAAGGAATCAAATGACCTAAAAGGTAAACTCAATAATTACAACAAAGACAACGAGAATCTAAAATGCACCGAAATTATTCAAGATAAATTAGCCGAATTAGAAGATAGAAGTAGACGAGACAATCTTCGTTTTGATGGCTTTGACGAAAGAGAAGAAGAAACTTGGGAAGATAGCGAATCGAAGGTTAAAGAGTTCTTAAAGGAGAAACTCGGAATTAAAAACAACATTGCAATCGAAAGAGCACACAGGACTGGGAAGAAGCATGTATCTGGAAAAAGAAGAAGAACTATCGTGGTAAAATTTCTTAACTATAAAGACAGAGAAATCGTATTAAATGAGTATAAAAAAAGAAAGCTATGGAACGAAAAAATATATCTCAACGAAGACTATAGCAATCGCACAATCGAAAAAAGACGATTTCTATTTACAAAAGCAAAAGAACTTCGAGCTGAGGGTAAGTTTGCTAAAGTTATATATACCAAACTTGTTACGCGCGCCTCAGAAGTATAAGAAATTCTTTTAAATCTTATTCAGCACACAAAAAATGATAACAACAAAAAATATAAAATGGATGACTATGAATCACTTATTTTCAACTTTAGAAACAAATACATTGGATCTGATGAAAACACAGATCCAGATATTAATTATTTTAATGACTTAAAAGTAGATTGTTTTTATCATTTTGCTAGTGAGTTAAAAGAATTTCTTTCTAAAAATGGCGATGAAAACAAAAAAATTAGAATTGTCCACATAAATATAAGAAGTATGAACAAAAATTTTGAAAATCTTCGACATTTTATAGAAGAAACTAAAAACTATTTTGATATTATTTGCTTAACGGAAACTTGGTGTTCACAAAATGAGCTTAATAAACTCTAATTTCCATTTTCCTAATTTTGAAACAATTTTATTAGAAAGACAATTAAATAAACACGGTGGAGGAATTCTGATTTACATAAAACAAAACATTGCGCATAACGTTAGGAATGATCTGTGCGTTTCTGATGGCGATAAAGAAATCGTTACAATTGAAATTTCAAACAATAAAAGCGAAAAGTTAAAAAGCAAAAGCATTCTACTAAGTTGTTGTTATAGACCACCTGGTGGTGCGTCAGAAAATTTAAGCTTATACTTAAAGCACAACGTTTTTCATAAAGCTAACAAAGAAAAGAAAAAAAACTTTGTAATTGGCGATTTAAATATGGATTGCTTACGATATAGCGAAAACAAAAAAATAAAAAAATTTTATGATAAAATATTTGTATCAGGAGCAATACCGCTTATAAACCGGCCTACTCGAATAACAGAAAACTCAACCACCCTTATAGACAATATTTTAACAACAAATATATATAACAATGACATTCAAATAGGCATTATAAAATCAGATATATCAGACCATTTCCCCATTTTTCTAACAAATAACACAATTTCAACTCCTAACATTAATAAAAGTCAAACTATAAGAAAACGTATTTTTAACAAAAAAAATTTAGAAGCATTTAAATATCAATTATCATTGTTAAACTGGAAGCATATAAATTTTAATGAAGACATAAATGCAATCTATAATGAGTTCTTTAATACATTCTTCTCGGTGTACGATGCGAATTTTCCCGTTTCCGAAATAACCTTAAAACCAAAAACCTTAAGTAGTCCTTGGATTACCAAGGGTCTCAAAAAATCTTCAAAAATTAAACAAAAATTGTATATAAAATATTTAAAAACAAAATCTCATGCTAATTTACGCATATATAAAAATTACAAAACTCTATTTGAAAAAATTCGCAAAAACCTAAAAAAAAATTATTACTCTAATTTAATCACTAAATATAAAAATGACTCAAAACAAATATCGAAAATATTGAAAGAAATAACGGGAAAACAGAAAACCTGTTCAAATTTCCTTCCGAAAATGATTAAGATAAACAATGTATGTGTATATGAACCAAATGAAATAGCAAAAGAGTTTAATAAATATTTTACTGATATCGGAAGTAGGTTGGCTGATAGGATTCCATCTACAAATATTTCCTTTAATGATTTTTTGACAACTTCAAATAATTTACTTTCTTCCCATGACTTATTCCTAGACTTATCGATTGAAGAGTTTGAAAGAGCCTTCAAATCTTTTAAAAAAAAACAAAGCAACCGGTGCGGATGAAATAAACGGGAACATTATTATAGATTGCTATGAAAGTTTGAAAGATATTTTATTTAAAGTTTTCCAAACATCTATACAACAAGGGGTTTTCCCTGATCTATTAAAAATTGCAAAAGTTATCCCGATTTATAAAGAAGGAGAAAAATCAAACGTAAATAATTATCGCCCTATTTCTATCCTTCCTACGTTTTCAAAAATATTAGAAAAAATTATCTTCGAAAAAACATACAACTACCTGGTTTTCAATAATTTACTATATAAAAATCAGTTTGGCTTTAAAAAAAATAGTTCAACTGAACAAGCCATTATTCAATTTATACGTGAAGTATCAAATTCTTTTGCTAAATCACAATATACACTTGGTGTTTTTGTCGATTTATCAAAGGCTTTTGATACAGTCAATCATGATATCTTACTTAAAAAACTTGAGTTCTACGGAATAACTGGTAAAATGATCAAATGATATAAAAGCTACTTGTCAAATAGAAAGCAATTCGTCTACCACGGAGAAGAATTGCTTCCTATTAATCTTCAAAATAAAACATTAATTGAAATAAAATGTGGTGTTCCACAGGGTTCTATCCTTGGCCCACTTCTCTTTTTAGTACACGTCAACGATCTAAATAAGGCCTCGAATCTTATAAGCATCATGTTTGCCGACGATACCAATTTATTTTTGTCAAACAAAAACATTAACAAACTTTTTTTAGATATGAATAAAGAACTTAATCAAGTTTCTAACTGGTTTAAATGCAATAAATTAACCTTAAATATTGAGAAAACAAAGTGGATTCTTTTCCACTCCTCAACAAAAAACGCTTTTTGCCTTATGATTTACCTAAACTTATTGACAAAGTAGAAATAAAAAAAGATTCCGTTTTAAAATTTCTAGGTATTTATCTTTTTATCTTGACGAAATTATGACACGGAAATTATCTTGACGAAAATATGACACGGAAAGCTCATATTGATTATATATCAACAAAAGTTGCGAAAAGTATTGGTATCCTCTATAAGGCCAGAAATTATCTAAATAAAAATAATTTAAAACAACTATACTACTCATTTATTCATAGCTATATAAACTATGCAAATATTGCCTGGGGAAGTACAGGTAAAAGTAAGTTGCAACGTCTTTACCGCCATCAGAAACATGAAATGCGAATAATATATTTTTTAAATCGTTTTTCAAATACAAAACCTCTATTTAAAGATATGAATGTATTAAATGTTTATGAACTTAACTTGTTCAATATTTTATGTTTTACGTTTTGTTGTATGAATAACCCCTTATTTCATGTTTTTAAAGATCTATTTACCTTTAAAGTAAAGAATAAATATAGTTTGCGAAATAATAACTATTTAAAAGAACCCTTTTGTCAAACAAAGTTTAATCAATTTTGTATAGATTATCGAGCACCTTATATCTGGAATAAAATTGTACAGCCTAATTTAGATTCATCTATCTCTTTTTCTGTTTTTAAAAACAAGTTAAAGAATATCATTTTTTCTACGGATAATATATTGAAATATTTTTGAGATATTATTTTAACCATTTCTTATTTCAAATGTTTTGGATTCTTATTTTGTTATAAACTACCTGTATTATACTATATTATATTTATATTGTAATTTTTATATGGTTCTGGCGACAAGATCAATATAATCTTCTTCCAGATTCCAAGTTTATATGTTTATATTACATGGAAATCACGACATGTAAATAATGTAAACTGAAAAAAAAAAAAAAAAAAAAAAAAAAAAACTATTTAAAGTTTATTTATAATCAAATTATTCACATAAAATAGTTGAAAAAAGTTCTAAAAACCAAGATAGTTTCATAATAAATAACTTTTTGACATGTCCGTAGTTTCGAATGTTTAATATCTATCATGAATTATTTGCGCTTTCCTAACTTGTT